AGATAGATAGATAGATAGATAGATAGATAGATAGATAGATAGATAGATAGATAGATAGATAGATAGATAGATAGATAGATAGATAGATAGAATGTGAACGCACGTGACTTCCATCGACCCTTCCGATCAATTGTGCTCCTCGTGTTTACATTCTGTCCAATCCAGTTATGCACACTGCAGTTAAAAACAGAGTTCAAGCTTTCACGTTACTAATTCCCACACATCATGAAGGATTCACATGGCTGTCACTGATATGCGACCTTTGAGTAGCCTCGAAGAGCTCGTGTTTTGTGTAAGAGCACTAAATGTTCCCTTAAGCAGCGGTTTGAATACAATAGAGGGAAAACAATAGCTTGAGCTGAGGGTCCTCCCTGTGTCTAATTTTCAAAAGCAATTACACTGATTGGCACAATGCCGTGGGCTACACAATTGGCTGTTGGAACCGCTTTAACATTTGGAAACATGGAGGGTTCTTTAATTACACTATTGGTAAGGTGCTGCATGTTATTTATGTATTTATTCTTATTACTGTTAATCTTGTGGCACTCTGTGGTTCCATAAAAAAATCAATGTGGTATGATAAAATAAAATAACTGCATTTTGTACTGAACAAAGAAAACTCACTCACCTCAGAAATGCAACATATTGGCGTGTTTTCCTTTTGTCATTCTATATTCAAAAGGGGGGAAGCATGTGAAAAGAAGAAGAAGAAGAAATCTGTTCTTGACGGTGTGGTCAGCTTAAAAACCCGACATCACGTCTTAATGAAGCGGGTTCGGTCCAAAGCCAGCGAGAAACTCCAGATAAAACCCTGAAGCGAAGATGAAAGAATGCTCAACTCCTCTTTCCTCTCCTCCACTCTTGGCTTCAATTTCTCACTTGCTGCCTGTCTTCCCTTGTCCAGACAGATACGTGGTTCATAGCCAGAGCCTCATGTAATATTAAACACCGATAATGGATCAGCGCATTGTGAAAAATAAATGCACTCTTACGGTTTTTTTAATTCCATGTTTACATCACGCACCCAATTATCTCCCTCCTAAACGAACAGTATGCGCGCTGCTTCCTTTGTGCTCCCCGTCTTTCTCACTCTCAGCGGATTGAACCATTCCCGCAGCACGAGAGGGGGGGAGGTGGATGGGTGCTCTATTCCTGTGATTATACGTGAACGAATGGGTTTGGTGACTCGTGGCCAAATGTTGTTATTGTCGGGGATAAAGAGCCCGGGAGATGGAGTGATGGGAGGGGGGAAAGGGAAGAGGAGGAGGAGAAAGTGAGAGAGAAGGAAAGAAGGAGACATTTACTGTAAAGCAGTTTGATGCAAAGGAGGGACAAAAGGGCACATTTTCTCTCTCTCTCTCTCTCTCTCTCTCTCCATTTTTTCTCTTTTTTTTTAAATTTCTTTTTGCCTGGTATATCATTACATGCAATATGAAATTAAACTGTATAATCGCTCCCTCTGGAACAGCTGCTTCCACACACTAAACCATTTTTCTTGTCATGTGTAAGTAGGATTTCTCCTTAAGCGGGCTCTCATGCTACATTATGCAACCAAGATATAATTACATCTAGTGTAATGGTAGAGAAAACACAAGTGCCGGCCTACTATTTCAATAGCCTTTCATGTTTGCTCTGCTGCCTGTGAGCTCCTTCAGCAAAAAATATAGTGTCAGTTCAGAACCTCGGAGAGCTCCGAGCCGGCACCAACAACCAGTGTAAATAAAGGGTTGCACTTTCTAATGGGTGGTTTGTTTGTTTTTTGTCTTTCTTTTTTGTCTTTTTTTTTAAATAAATAAATTAGATTTTTTTTTCTAAGCTATAAGTGTACCGCAGGAATATTTTAATAAAGTTTGCCAACTGGTACTATGCTCGGATTATTCTAAATATACCAAGAATAATATTTTGAGTTGCCCGTCTTCGTGAAAGTGGCTAGATTTACACAGTATCAGGCCTTTGCCTTGATTTTAGCAGCCTTTTGTCAAAATCAGAGAGCTAAGCGTGAAAGACCTTGCTTCTAGTGGTCTTATGTGGATGTATGTAGCGTGCTGATGGTGCCCCCTCCCGGAGAGAAATCATCATCGTGTCGGAGACGGGAGCCACGCATCTGAACCAGATAAAACCTGATGTAGTCCACGGTTGTTTGCGTTATTGTCAGATGATATTGATTTGGGATTAACTTCGTTTAATCATCCGTGAATGTGCGTGGAGAAGATCCTTGTAGTTGCGTTTTAAACTGAAACATATAAATACTTCTGCTCTATAGTTTGACTCCATTCCATTTGAAACCAAACACATCATTAAAATATTAACAAGAATAATTTTTAAATGAATGATTATAATAGTGAGTTACAAATGTTTACTCCTCGGGTCAGTTTACGCACAGCTGCTCCTTAGTAAAACCAGCCTCTCATGTTACCTATTACGTAACGATATATTAGCGGAGCTGGACGGACGAGTTTTGACGCGTTAATAAAACCGCGCATGCTCAAAGGTAGCCCTCTTGTTTATCGCCAGTTTGCTGGAAGTTATGAAAGTTTTGCTGAATGTTTAATTCTCGCAAAGCGAAGACATTGATGATCTCAAGACCTGACTTCGGGTCACGTATTTAAAAAGTCAAATTACAGATAGAAATGAAATTAAAAACGTTTGCTAAAGAACCTTTCTGGCTGTCAATTCAAAAACACGTCATTTTTCTTCACATTCCGCGTGTCGGCGGTTATTTTATTGTCTAATGATGTTTTAAAATGTCCCCGTGTGGACGCGCAGCATCTGTGCCTTTAAGATCATCTCTCACAGCATCCTCCTCCTCCTCTCCTGTCAGGGACGCGCACACACAGCAGTGCAATATTAGAGACTACAAGCTAGCTTTCTGCACACATATTTTCCCACAGGTACATCATAACCTCACACAACTACACCTGTCCTCGTTGTTTCTCAACTGGACATTGATGCATTTGCCTCAACAGTAACCGTAGCGGTCCCTCCGATCGTTATTGCTTTTATTCCCTTCCCTCCCGCATCCAAAGACTGATCTACGCTACAAGATGGCTGAGCTGAATTTGGGGAAGGGGCTCACTGCAGGGAAAGTGGCCAGTAACGTGCAGAAAAAACTAACCAGAGCGCAAGAAAAGGTAAGCGTGTCTCCCTTACGCGTTGCTGTGTGGTAAATTTATATCTCCGGCCCTCACGCCACGAAGCAGTAATGCCGCATCCTCCACAGAGGCGCAGTGTCGCATCACGACATCATCAAATAAGCGTGGAGTTTGCTGTATTTAAGGAAGAAGCTGTTTACTTGAAATAGGCTGCTCCCCTGCTTTAAAACACTGTCACACAGCGGACACGTACTGCAGTCAGATATGGTGTAGGCCCGCTCATGATCTAGCCTGATGTGTCTGGTATTTGAAGGCTTCTATCTAAACTGGCAGATGAGTGATGTTACTCAGTAAGGGGCATCATCTCATACGTTCTGAGGCCATTATTAAACGACCATGCTGCAATATGTGGACTATAGGTGGTAGAGGAGGCCACAGACTACGCTTTTAAACACCTGCACTTTGCGCTCAATATTTGGGAGGGGGCGCTATTTGTCCAGCTAAAGGTATTATAAAGCCTGCTGTAAGGCTAAAGATAGACAGAAAGCAGATACGGGTGCCTCCCTACATGCATACTATGTCTGTGTGAATGTTACCGAAGGGGGAAATTAGACTGTGTATAGAGATTTTGTCCCATCAATATGGCAAATATATAAAAAAAAAAAAAAAGACTTGCCATGTGTGTGTATGTTTCTGTTTTACATCGTCACTTCATGTTTCTAACCAAATGCAAAGACATACTATTGATTTTTGATGGCAAAACAGAAAGCTGCTGGGAATCAGTTGTACGATCTGATGTTTTCAATCATTATTTGTATGACAGGTTCTGCAGAAACTTGGCAAAGCAGACGAGACCAAAGATGTCGCTTTTGAAGAGGGAGTAATCAACTTCAACAAACAATATGTAAGAGTGCAGTTCAGTGACTCATGGAGTCATAATTAAACATTTTCTAGATATCAACAATAGTATGGCCTAAAATAGGATAAACTGTAGCCTGCATTGAGTCTGAATCCACAGCATATAATACACGATTGGCGTTTTTTGATGAGGCTCATATTTAGTGTTTCGTCCTCAGGCTGAAGGCAGCAAACTCCAGAGGGATTTAAGAGCATACCTCGAGGCTGTGAAAGGTGACAGGCATGAACACACAAGTCAATCCAGAGACACAAACACACAGAAACACACTTTCATTGGCGTATGAATACACACTAATATAAGCTAATGTAGAGGATGTATGCTTGTCCTTAGCCATGCATGAGTCCTCTAAGAACCTTCAAGCATGTCTAGCTGACATGTATGAGCAAGACTGGTACGGCAAGAATGAAGTGGACTCCATTGTGGAGGTGAGAAATACTTTTTACTATTTCTTTAAAAGCCATATTAAGTGAGTAGGTTATATGTGTGTACAGGATGTGTGCGCTTAGACATCCTGAAAGTTGTGTGATACAGGGGTTATACTTTTCTTGCCTTCGAGTATGTGTGCCCACTTAGTGCTGAGTGTTACAAGTCTGGTCGTCATGAGGTAAACGGAAGGATGTTCGCCAATCCTGTGTTATAAATGGTTTCAACTACACGAGTCCTCCAAGCTGATTAGAAAATAATAGAATAACCGCTCTTCTGAAATATTCAGGCTGTCCATCTCTGCAAGCAATTATAGTCCCACAGCATGAAAAACTGTACTGCTGCAGACTTTATATTATGCTGAATGTCGTAGAACCACGTCTGGTGAAAAATGTTGCAGAGATCCTTAAAATGTCCTCTAATTGTATTCTTGAGGTCATTTTTGATTAGCCACAAATAGCAAGAAGTCATTGCAATTAGCTAAAAGGCTTTTGCCTTAGTGAAGACCACAAGTCAAAATGATGCGACAGAGCTCCTGAAACAAGTTACAAAGTAAAGGAGAAATATATTCACATTGCATGCTACTCCAATATAAAATGTGCTCTGCAGGAGATTTGTCTCGTATAATGTTAAACAGTCTGTCTTGTGCCTGCTTCTGTACATTCCTTCATCTTGCAGGATTGTGATGTGCTTTGGACTGATTACCACCAGAAGCTGGTTGATCATGCTCTCATCTCCATGGATACTTACCTGGGCCAGTTCCCTGATATTAAGGTAAGTTAAGAGGTCGTGACCTCAACAAAAAATCGGTGGTCTTAAATGTTAATCCAGTGGCAGTGAGCGTCTCTTTTATCTATTGTGACCTTGCTGGAAAGCATGTTGTATGAATACTGAGCATTTCGATATAAATGAAGAAAGTGAATAATACATTTTTTTTTCTTTTTATTCAGACTCGTATAGCTAAAAGGGACAGGAAGCTGGTAGATTACGACAGTGCCAGGCATAACTATGCCGTGACACACAAAACCAAGAAAAAGGACGGGGGCATTAAAATTACTAAGGTAAAACAAATGCGCTGCGGTGTTTGTAATCACTCAGATGCAAAATTCAACAATTATTTTGTTTTTCAGTTCATTATTTAGGTGAATCAACATGTAAGAAACCTAAAAAATATATATGTTTGTTTTGTAGCCCTCATCCTTGTTGGAAAGGGCCACTCCAGGATGGGCTCAGGGTATCCTGTCTGCACACAACGTTGCCCAAAGCAGTCTTTCCAGGAGCCAGGTACATATTTACCTTATTCTACAATTGTAAGGAGTTTTCTGGTAACCCAGCAGTAAAATATATGTTACCATAACAAAGAAGTCAGTATGAGCTAGTTTCAGGAAGCCTTTCTAGAGATGATCCCTGTGTTTGTCTGTCCTCTCTGTTGATAATCTAATGAGGGCAAATTGAAAATGAGAACATCAAAAAGAACAAATCATATTAAGCACAATCAGTGGTGGAAGAGATGTTGTGCATACACACACACACACACACACACACACACACACACACACACACACACACACACACACACACACACACACACACACACACACACACAATGTATTTAATTCATTAGCAGAACATCTAACACACTTGCAAACATACTCTAATTCATTAATTTCAGGCTGAGGAGGAGCTAGAAAGGGCCCAGAAGGTGTTTGAGGAGATTAATGCTGACTTGCAAGAAGAGTTGCCGTCACTTTGGAACAGGTAGGGAATATGTGTTTT